GGGAGCTGCCCTTCCCCCATCCCCGCACCCCTCTCCAAACGAGCCACTCACGGCACCATCCTGTACCCTGCCCCAGCTGAGCAGTGCCTGTTGGCGCCCCTTCGCTTTGGTGCCTGGGATGGTTGTCCTGCTTGCCGCCCCCGCCCTCCCCCTTTTTTGCTGCGGCACTGGTAATGTCATGAGCTGACCTTGCAGAAATATTTGGGAGCTAATGTCAAGTTCAAGAACTGGATTTTTTTGAAAACAGTTTATTTTTTAGTGTTGCAGATAACATGAAAATTGCCATAACTGGAAGAAACGAGAGAAGTTGTTTTTTTCTGAAGTCTTACTGTGTAGATTTAAAAGCACTTTTTACAGAATCATTTTCCCTCTTTGTTCCTGTAGAGGTGAAATGGACTAGATGAGCTTTTTGTGGGTTAGTCATTCTACCACAACAGGGAAGGTTTTTTTGATTGTTTGTTTTTTTGGGGTTTTTTTTTAGTCTAAAAGGGTTCATTTAAACTGTAGTTCTGTAATAGCAAGTCTGCAAAGGTTGAGAACTGCTGACTTAGAAAATTATGCATGTAACAATGTTTTCATCCAGTTTTTTAACGGTTTCTTTCATGTTTTGGGATTGCTTCTCCCATGCTGATATATGTTCAAGTTTTGTTTTCCAGAAGTCCTTGATAGGCCTTCCCTCTTCCCAACCCCCAAAAAGAAATGCACGCTTAAATATATCTTTTAGAGGTAATCTGATTAAAATGCAAACCCACAAGCCTTTTAATATCTATTTTGCACCATTCTGAGCTTGAAAAGATGTGGCAAAAGCTTTTGTTCTAGGGCAACAGATTTTCCAATCGCTGTTAGGTAGTTAGAGCACTGTAATCCAGTTTGATAAAACTGATTTTTTTTGTGCATCAAGTTGCACCAAAGTACTGTATTAGTAAGGATAACTATTTATTTTAGAAAACCAAGAAGTCAAATGATGTGTGTGTTCCTAGAAATGTGGTACAGCTTGAACATACTTTTCCTGTTTGATTTAGCAGTATTGGAGAGGGAATGAGTCTGTATCTTTCTGTGGGCATGATCCTGCACCCGTTAATTAAATGGTAAAATTTTGACTTCAGTGTTGCATGCTCAAGATGCATTATGTGCATGGGTAGAATGAAAGTGTAGGAAATAGGCATCTTTGGTCCACTTCTGGACATCACTGTGGCTTCTTCTCAAATGTTCCCCGTCTCTGATTTTGATACTTCCGTAGCTTGATGTACAGTGACTAGAAAACTTAAAGCATGGAGTATAGTCAGTGCTCTTATGCAGTGCTTAAATTTCACACTTTCTGATTTCACCCAACTGACGCTAGCACAGCTTCACGTGCAGCAGTTTGTCACATTGCTCTGGAAGGGGGTGGTGGGGATATAGGAGATGAGTAGCTGTGTCTGAATTCCATAGGCAGCATATCAGTTCATCTTCCCACCTATCTATCAGACCGTTAAACAAATTGGCACTTGTGCTTATTTCAAGGAATGTCAAATAATACCTTTTAGCTGGAGATTATCTTTTATGAAAAATCTGCCAGC